AGACACGTGTTGGTGACCAAATTTTTGAAACTAGCACAAACTAATTTTCAGCAAGTAATATGCATGTATTTACTACAACTTTGGCTTTTTCTTATTTTTGTTACTTAGACTCTGAGTCTTCACCGCCACCGTCAATGTTGTCGCTTTATGGTGGCGCCTCTGCGCATTCCGCCAGCAATAGCTGCATGGGAAGCACTTCACCTACGTTGCATGACACAGACGCGCTCAACGGTTCGCTGAGCCGTAAGAAGCGTTCACGTGCCGCTTTCAGTCACGCGCAAGTATTTGAGCTAGAGCGTCGTTTCGCACAACAGCGTTATCTCAGCGGCCCGGAACGTGCTGAAATGGCCAAGAATTTACGTTTGACCGAGACACAGGTGAAGATTTGGTTCCAAAATCGCCGTTACAAGACGAAGCGCAAGCAAATTCAGCAGCATGAAGCCGCGCTGATGAGCGCCGCCACGAAGCGTGTGCCAGTGCAGGTGTTAGTGCGTGAGGACGGCAGCGGTGCGGCGACGGCAGCAGCGGCTGCTGCATATGCCCACATGTTGCCGACGCATGGCATTGATCCCGCACTACTGCATATTTATCGTCATCAGGTAGGCAACGGATATTTTTATTGTAAAATAAATATTTAGATGCAATGTTTATGTAATAAATTATATTGTATCAAAAAAATTAAATTAATAAAAATATTTGCTATTTTTGTTTCTATCCATTACAGTTGCAAATGGCTTACGGCGTTGGCGTTTCATTGCCTCAAGTATCGTTTCCTTACTTCTATCCGCAAGCGTCGAAAATACCTCAACCTATACCACCGCCCAGTCAGTCGTCGGCGAACGGTTCAGTTGCTGGCGGTTTTGCCATACACGCTGCGGGAAATCACGCAAATATAAATAACAATAACAATAACAGTTTTGAGATCACAAAAAATGCATTAAATTTCGCTAAAATGGAGCACGGCATGCGTTACATACAATGCTCCTCGGCCTCCTCATCACCCACGCATGGCAACACGCTCGCCAGTGGCGACAGCAGTAGCCCATCGAGATCATGCTCCAGTCCAACTGCTATGGATACCGCTGGCGCCATGTTGACATCAGCCATGTCTGCGGATACGGAAAGCTGCGCTGAGACGCACTCCGCTACGACGGAGGATTGTGATGAGAATGTGGAAATTGATTAGATAATCCGTTAGATAATACTTCTATCTAAAACGTTGCTGTGTGTCTATGTAATGTAAAAATTTGTGTGGCGCAGTGTCGCAAAACTAGCAAATAATATGATAAAAATTAACAAAATTTGTGATAGTGAAAGTTTTAATTGGCTTAGTGGGCATATGTACTTTTAGAATTGTAATTAATTGTAGTTAGTTGTTTAATTTAGTTTTAGAAATAAGCATACGTGAAAAGAAATAACGCACTAAAAAAATTAAAGTATATTCAATAACTTCATACTTTTTTTCTACAATGTAATATATGATGGAATACAAGTGTTGGCACCACACACATATGTATGTAGCTTCACGGTTGAGGCATGTTTTTAAACATCGTTTGCAGAATTAAACAAATTATATAGGCGTAAATAATACTTAATTTCAACAAAAATAAAAAATCTTAAAAAAAATATGTTTATTAAAAAATTATTTTTAGAACCCGTAGCTCACAAATTTACCAATACCTCTTATTTTGCATATTTCCTTGTTGTTGTTGTTATATCTGCGTACAGATTGATCTGATTTTTCGTGTAAGCAGAAATAAAAATGGCCGATCTCGTTTCGGTCGTATAAAGAAACAGTAAGCTTCGTAAAGTGGGATCGTTCTTTAAAGATGAGCATGAGCGCAAAATGTTCGTGGTATCTTATAGTCTTTATATTAGAGCACAATATTCATGACGTGATTCTTAACTTTTAGAGCCACAACGCTAAGTAAAAATTTGTTGGATTTCAGAAAGTCTTATCATTTTAAAAGGCTATTGTTTTCATTAATTAATGAAAACCGAATACAATGTACCCGCTAACAAGCTTTATGCAGCCACTCAAGGTGTTATATCCACTTGTAACGCAGAAAAAACGTTTTTTTACATATTTTATTTTTGAAAAAGCATTTTGTCTACTAAATAAATAAAAATAATGCATATTTACAGAATTAAAATTTTTAATTTTAAAAAATTTGGAATTTTCTTGATTTCGCAACCGATTTCCAGGAGGACCTCTGAGAAACCAAATGAAATCCAAAAACCGAAATAAAGTCATTATTAGTATAGATAAATACGGGTAATAATGAAAGGACTAATCGCAATTTTGATTTTGTCAAAACTTTTCCAAAAAAAATCGTTTTTGTGAAAAAATTTACGTAATAATTTAATTCAAAATTATATAAATATACAATAAAAAAATCGAAATTATTATCAAAAATATTATTTATTATTCTATATTAATTTTTAAGTCGATTGGTTCAGCCACTTCGGAAAAATTTCCCTCACCGGCTCTTAAAAAACATTTCGAGATAAGCGCGTCTAAAGTTTTGAGAGCCGATTCCACCAAGTTAAAAAAAACTTACAATACACCCATTTCTTCAAAACTATTCAATTTAAAATTTTTGGAAAATATTCTTGAATATATGCACATTCGATAAATCAAAATAATTTTTTTTTGAATCTACAAGGGAATATAACGCCTTCAAGTAGAACATGAGTATAAACTAAGTACACCCCTTCTTTTAAAATATTCGAGGGAATAAAGTATGTTCCTAGTATTTAAAATATTTATGTTAAGTTAATAAAAACCGAATATGGTGGAGTTACGGCGCATCAATTATTCAATAATCTTCACTTGGAAAAAAAGTTGTAAATCTCATCAGTCCCCTTAAGAGTTTTCATCTGCTAAATCTTTTATCCTTTGAATCAGCTATATCAACTGTTGGACCTTGATAACCGAAGAAATTGTATTTATTTCCTAATTTTCACTTGATTTCATTACATACACACAGCTGCCTGAATTACATGTCAAATAGGGTATATTAAGTTTGCCACGAAGTTTGTAACACCCAGAAGGAAACGTCGGAGACTCTATAAAATATATATATATAAATGATCAGCATGATAAGCTGAGTTGATTTAGCCATGTCCGTCTGTCTGTCTGTCCGTCTGTTTGTATATATACAAACTAGTCCCTCAGTTTTTAAGCTATCGGTCTGAAATTTTGCACCTGTTCTTTTCTCAGAAAGAAGCTGCTCATTTGTCGGAACGACCGATATCGGACCACTATAGCATATACTTAGCTGCCATACAAACTGAACAATCGGAATGAAGTGCTTGTATGGAAAACTCTTTCATTTGACGAGGTATCTTTACGAAATTGAACACGAGTTCTTGCTTAAGGCAACAAATTATTCTCCGCAGAAATTGGTCAGATCAGATCACTATATCATATAGCTGCTTTTTATCACATTCCGCCATCTTCTTGTAGGCTGAAAAATTTGTGGGAAGCATGAATTTCATTGAGTTTATCAGCAATGACAACGTCATCAGTAACAATGCAAAACTCTCGTTTATTGAGCTCACATCGTTTAGTACCGCAAATTCTTGCCTGAAATATTAAGGAGTTAATTTAGTACTGGTTGCGGCAAAGTATGCCCACCCAGGCTGAAGAAGCATCATAAGT